TAATTGTTTTGTCATTCATTAGTTTGTACTTAAATCAGGCCGTTAGTTTTCTCGTTTGAATTGTTTTACATTTGTCATTTAGGGACCAGTTATAGCTAACTATGCGGTATGGGTTTTACTCATTGTTGAAGGCCGTGCTGTGACCTTATATAATAGTTGTTAATTTCTGTGTCATTTGGTCTCTTGTGGAGAGTTGTCTCATTGGCAATCATTATACCACATCTTATTTTTAAAGTTTAATTTTGGACCATTTGGATCTCAAAGTGGACCGATTTAAAAAAAAATGGTACCCAAAATTCAAAATTTAAATACAGGGTTAGATTCAGCATATTAAAGACCCCAAAAATTCAAGACTTTGAATTAAACCCTATTGAAATTGGTCAAGAAATACTGTAAATTCAGAAATTATTGCGTGCATTTATTATTTCGATTATTTTAAAATGGGACAAAAATGCTAGATTAATTATAGTGATTTCAGGCAAATCTGCATGCATATCTTTGTATCAGATATAAGAATGCGAGTTCTTATTATTGCGATACTAAACAAGTTGCATTATTCCCATTAATAAAATCTTCGCGATAATTTCTGAATTGACAGTATAAGCAATTTATACAAAGTATTAAAAAAGTATTCTTTTTGGCCCCTTATTCATAAACATTCAGGGCCATTATCCCCAAAATCAGTCCCAACTTTTTTGTTTTGGTATGGAACCTTGTGGTACAATTTCTTAGAGATCCATAGACTTATACTCAAGTTATTATCTGGAAACCTAATGTCTCTGGACGGGTGCGAGACAACTTGGGCCGTCTATTAAGACAACTCGGACCATCAATAAGTCATCTCTGATCGTCTATAAGTCTGTTCCGACCATCTATAATGCCAACGAAGACTAAGTATAGAATTCGGATTTTGACGGAATAAATTATTTAATGTGTCTGAAGAGAAGTCTCGAATAAAGTTTTGACGTCGATTTTGAGTATATAAATGACAAAAACGACAACTGGGGTGTCTACAATTAACTAACGCTCCCTAATTTTTTTTTATTTCTGTTGTTTGAAAGCTGTATGAGTAAATAATGTTTTGGTAGATTCTTTTTAGAATAATTAAATTTACATTATTGAAAGTTGATTTAATTTAATTATCATTACGAAATAACAAATTTATTAAGTTTGTTTAATGAATTTATTATTCAAAATAAATATAAACATGATGAAGTAGAAATAAAAATGTACATTAGGGAACGACCATCTAACTTCAAAAAAAAAGGGGGGGGGGGGGGGGGGGGGTGGTTGTTATGGTTTTTTTCCTAAAAAAATATTCTGATCCCCAATTTGATGAAAAAAAATATTGTGGTCAAGCAGATGACAAAAAAATTATTTTGAATCCAGATTTTCCCCATACGTTATAGTGTTAAATTTTGAAAAAAAAAACCATAACCAAATACCCCCTTGAAGTTAAATGGTTGCTCCCATAAAGGTTACTTTTATGTGAAATTTAACATGTCATCATATAACTAGAACAAACTCTAGGTTTATACTTTGTTGGAGTTGGCATTATAGACGGTTCAAGTTGACTTTAAAATAATCAAATAAAGAATTCAACAAAAAGGTAAAACAAATTCAACCTAGACTTCTTTTTATACGCCCGTTTATGGGACGTATTATGGTATAATACAGTTGTCCGTCTATCCGCCCGTCGTCAACATGTCGGACAATAACTCAAAAACGCTTTAACCAATTTGCATTGAACTTTGGTGAAATGTTTATATCTATTGACGTGAGCTCCCTTTATATTTTTATAAATTTTAGATTTTACGTTTCCGAGTTCGGGGGTTTTATTCATTAAAAAAAAGGGGGATTTTCCAGTTTTCGTACAATAACTCAAAAAATGCTTTGAGCAGTTTTCATGAAACTTTGGTGAATTTTTTATATCTATTGACGTGAGCTCCCTTTTGACTTTTATAAATTTTAGATTTTACGTTTCCGAGTTATGGGGTTTTATTCATAAAAAGGGGGATTTTCCAGTTTTCGTACAGTAACTCAAAAGTGCTATGAGCCGTTTTTACGAAACTTTGGTGACTGGTTTATATCTATTAAAATAATCTCCATTTTTATTTGATATTTGATATAAAGTTGCATTACTATCCGTACATATCAGTTTGACGACTATTTTGAGGCCCTGCCCCAAGGACATGGTACAGTGACTTTGAATTAATTAGCAATTTTCCAATGTTAAGTTTTCTGCTTAAGTTAGTTTGATAGGATCTACTTGTGATAGATCAATGATATTTTATATGTAGTTGCATTACTATCAGCCTTCAACAATGAGCAAAGCCCATACCGCACAGTCAGCTATAAAAGGCCCCGAAATGACAAATGTAAAACAATTCAAACGAGAAAACTAACGGCCTGATTTATATACAAAATAATGAACGAAAAACAAATATGATATGCAGCAACAAACGACAACCACTGAATTACAGGCTCCTGACTTGGGACAGGCACATAAGAATGTGGCGGGGTTAAACATGTTAGCGGGCGCACAACCCTCCCCTAACCTGGGACAGTGGTGTAACGGTACAACATATGAACGAACTATAAAATCAGTCGAAAAGGGCTTAACTAATCAGATAGATACCGTGAAAGCACAAAAAAAGTAACAAAAATACAGAGTGGACCTGGCAGGGTACTTATACATCCCCACAAAAAGACACTAAGTACAGATCTGAGAGTACTCGCAGTTACTGACAGCTAGTTCAAAGCCAATAACAACTAATAAAAAGAATCCTGCATCTAAGACTAAAAAACTACTTGTGATAGATCTATGATATTTTGTATAAGGTTGCATTACTATCAGTACATATCTATTTGACGATTATTTTCAGGCCCTGCCCACTAGATAATGGTCCAGCGGCTGAATTAATAAACTATATTGCTGTCCATCAGATTGTCTTTTTCTGAGTTTTATGCCGATAGGCGAGACATATCTCTGTGTCAACAGTTTTTTTTTGACAAAGAAATATATACTTAAAAGGATATATCTAGGGAACAAAAAAGTATTCCGAGGGAAAATAATGTTTTGACTGCATGAAAAAATTAATACTGTTTTCTGCTATTTTTGTTGTTGTTGTTGTTCATCATTTCTCCTATTACAGACATGCGTCCCATAATTATGTATACATGTACATTGTATTTTCGGCATAAAAGCAATTATAGCCTGCATGATGTCGGTTAGAAAATATTTTTTCCCTTATACAAGTATATAACTGGAAATATACATTGGCTCGCTTTCATTCAACTAAAAGTAAATTTTCCATGGCAATATATTTTAAAAATATTGTCAGTACATCTTTTTAAATAGGGGGAAAATAACATGGGCAATAGCGAAATGAATATTAGTTCTAGCTGCTACTACTACTTCTATAACCTGGGACATAATATATTATAATAGTCCCAGCTATAACATAGAGGGTGGATGAGGGGGCTGCCTTGATAAATCATCTGTGAACTATTAAAAAAAATGTTAAAAAGTGTCAAATATCTATGATAAAAGTAAAGAGAATGCAAATTTAAAGTCACCTAATAAAGGAAATTTGGAAATTGAATCAAACAAATATTTAATAGGATTTGAAATTTTTGAAAAATCTCTGAAAATGCTGAGTCAAATGTTACCAAGCTTTACTGAATGTGCTTTCAGGTATTTAGTTTAAAAAATGTATCCGGGGATCTGGTCAATTAATCAACAAACATGACAGATGTTGCTAACAATAGAATAAAAGGGTAAAATGCAGTTTTTGGCTTAGATCTCAAAAACCAAAGCAGTAAAGCAAATTTAAACTGTTAGCGGATTAAAATGATCAACTGGCCAAGGTCAATCTCCTGCGGAATTTTCAGAAAATCGGAAACCCTTTTTGGAGTTGTTGTCCCTGAAGTTTCATTTTTGATCAATTTCAAAGGTTATGGCTCATATCTTAAAAGTTAACCTCTATGAGCAAATCCGATATGGGTAGAAAAATCAGGCTCGTCGGGGTCTATCTTCTGCAGAATTTTTAGAAAAAATACTTGCTAAAAACTGTAATAGATGGGAATAAACGTTGAGTAAAACATATCATCAATACAAGACCTACAAAAATGCCACTAAATAAGATCCACAAATAAGCAAACATAATTGATTGCGATAAAGGAAAACAATTAATACTAGTAAATCAAACTAGCATATTGTTTTACAGGCTCATGGGAGGCTCTTGTTTTTATGGGCATATAGGAAAATGTCTTAAATTCGATCGATTATATATTATTCAGACTTTAACATTTTAATTTCACTCGTTTACTATCGGATTTGGATCACGGGAGTGGACCAAATTTTAAAGGGAAATGATAACAGTTTGTCAATATTCAAATATTTTTGTTAAGCCATGCAAAACGATTTTTTCAACACTCCTAAAATGTATAGTATTTGAGAAGGTATAGATACTTTTACTTCAACATTAGCGTGTATTAAAAAAACATGTAGTTACTGTGATCACTATGATTTTTGCATAGAACGCTCCGACGTCTTATTCACTGACTGCTACAAACTAGCTGATAATCACATAATCATTAATTATTTTTTTAAACAAGATCATCACTGAATAATCAAACATACAGTCCTAGATTATCAACTAATCAAATAATCATGAAATATTTGGTCTGGTAATCAAATAATCACTATAAAAACGGCCAAGTAATCACCGTGATGATAATCAAAAACCCGATGAGGGATCATGAGGAGGCTCGATCATTCAAATTTTGATAATTTAAAATAAAATACTGGTATATGAAACTTTAGACAACTTTTCAGCTGAATAGATGATGCATTGTGTGCATACATAATTGATTGCAACAAAGGTGAAAATATACATCAAAGTATATATTCTAGAGTTTCCACTTTGTTTGAATGAACTTTTTTTTTGGCGGGAATATTTCACAACGAGTCATATGATAAATCACATGATGTAAAAATGACAGATGGGAGTGATGTAAACTAACTTGTTTAACATGTGATAAATTGATATCGTTAGAAGAAAACAGCGTGCAGATCATGTGTTTCACTTTTGTTACATTGGTATATCTCTGAGACTACTACAAATTATAATATAGTTCAACTATAAAATAATCTTAGGGTTTAATAGTTAAGCGTTACAGACATGTTTGTGGTAAGTTACTATCCCTAGATTCTTTCCAATATACACTAATATTTAATTTAATCCATCAGCTGTCAGTTACAATGTTCGTCATGTTCTTTTTTTTTCTTTTTTATATACAAAGTATTTTTATACAGGTGCCAGGTCATGTTTGTTTCTTAGGGAAGCAAGTTAACTCGTACCATACACCTTATCGCTATTTGTCCGCCATTACTGGACATCACACAGGTTCCCGTAAAATTTTGACGTCACAATACAAAATATCTGACGCCACAATGGAAAAGTGATTGTTGTATGACGTCAAAAGTTCAAGCGGGACAGATTCTCGGGTCAGCCGGGAATAGCGATAAGGTGTATTGTCAACTCGTACCAACGTAAACTCGTACCACTGGAAAGTCGTACCAATCAGAACTCGTACCACTGCAAACTCGTACCATTAAAAATATATTCAAAAATACGAATGTTTTATGATTTTTTTTTGGTAAACTTAATAAAAAAAGTTGAATTACTTGAATTTTATACTAGATTTTAATAAAAACTTAGACAAAAATATGAATGTTTTATGATTTTTTTTTTAAGCTTTATACAAAAAATTAAAATATCTTTAAATTTTATACCAGATTTTAATGAAAACTTAGACAAAATAAAATTCCTTTTAGAAACAATAGAAAAATACCCAAATCTATTCAATGTTACTGATTTGGAATGATTAAAAATTAAATCAAATAGTTGTCAGTAAAAGTTTAAAAAAGAGTCTATTCAAGGGAGACAACAAAGCCAATCTGCCACGGTTTTCTTTATCCAATTAGACAAGGAAAATTAGCTACAAATTGGTCATTGTAATTTCAAATTGTATACATTTTACAGACTTAAGAGGTATTGAGTGAAATTAAAGTATATATTCATCATTAAACACCATTTGAATGCATTTAAATAGTGGGTTTCATTGGGGTCTGAGCGTGACGCGGGATTGTTGATTTTTTGTAAGCGTGACACGTGAAAGTCATTTATTGTGCCGTGAAAACGGGATATGAAGTCTAGCGGGATACGGGAAATTACCAAAAAATGAGAATTGCTTACGTACATAGTGTAAGCGGGATACTGGAATCTGACAAAACAGTAAGCGGGATCCGGGATCAGAAACCCCCAAAATAAGTTGGTACGAGTTTACAATGGTATGAATTTACCGTGGTACGAGTTAGCAGTGGTACGAGTTTGCATTGGTACGAGTTATTTTTTAGTGGTATGAGTTGACATTGGTACGAGTTTACAATGGTACGAGATAACTATAATTCTTTCTTAGTATAGAAACGCAGTTAAAGACAATGAAGCTGAATCCCTACTATCATAGGTCTGCCAACTTTTCATGAAGCAAATGCGTGAGATTTGGCTAAAATTGTAAAGATCAAAGAGAAAAAACAATAGATCAAAGGAAAATGCCGCCAAATAAGCATGAAAATGCGTGAGACTTGGCAGCCCTGCTATCATGACTATATAGATTTAGGGTCATCAAAAGGAATTGCAAATATGGCTGTGTTTACACCACAAAATCTACTCTGAGTACAGACAAACAAGTGCATCTTGAATAGTTTTAAGGCTAATGGATGGATCTAGATATATAGTTCAATCGGGATATATATAAAGCATAATATTAACCAAATCAGATAAACATGATAAAATGGGCCAAAAAAAACCCCAAAAAATCACCTTAATTTCAGATTTCTGACAGCAGAAATATTCAAAAGAAATAAATTGACAATATCACTTAGAAATTATTTGTTTGAATTAATTCCAACCTTTTTTTTATGAAGAAAAGACTGCAATTCAAATTCTCCTGATTAATTTTTTTTGCATGTGTTAATTTTGATACCTCATCTGGCTTGTCTGGGTGATCGGTCCCAACCTGTCTGACTTCAGACTTCATGTTACAAAATATATTTTAATTTATGAAAATTTGCTTAGGTTTACCAACTCATACCATGATCATGATGATATATGAAATTATGCAAATTATTATTTAATATTTTAACTGTCTCAAAGACTTATTGATGCATTATTGCTAGGTAAAGCAGCAGACAATGAGAAATTCTAGGATAACTCATGATTAATATTTAAAAAAAAAAGGATTGCTACATGTATATGAATGTATATCTTGCAATTGCAAGTTAGTATTTAGTAAAACATTTGTTAACCAGGTTACCATACAGTGACCTTTAATTGGTAATATCCACGTCTTTTGAACCCTGTGGGATAGATGTTTTAAACCACTCCTTATTTTCATATTAACAGAATGTATATATAAAGATTTAATCTTTAGGTATTTGTAAAATAGATTTCAATAGTACACTGTAATAGGCTACACCATTGCTGATTTATTTGCTTACACTTCTAAATTATACTAAAAGAAATTGGTAATTTTTAAAAAAAAATCTTACATATTTTATATGATTTTTACTTTTTTCTTAACATGTTAAACATGTTAAATGTTTATCTTTAAAAATATTTTAACTATGAGTTTTTTTTTCATTGTGAATATATCATAGGCGGATCCAGGGGGGGCCCTGGGTGGCCCGGGCCCCCCCTTTCGTGGGAAAAATTTGGTTGATTATATAGGGAATCACTGAAGCGTGACTGGAGCGGGCCCCCCCTTACAAAAAGTTCTGGATCCGCCACTGTATATGTATCCAACGCAATCATAGGTTTGAACGTTGTTTTCAATTTAGACTTGTTTGTATTAATATAGTTTATATTTTAAACATTTATTATACCCCTGGTCCAAAGGAGTGGTTACCCTGCACAGGCATTTGTCTCTGAAATTTTTTTCCCCCTATAAACCCACAGGCACTTGTCTCTGAATTTTTTTTCCTATATACCTTTGTGTTATATTAAGGGGTATAGGGAAACAAAAATCAGAGACAAGTGCCTGTGTATATACCTGAATATAACCCTGATAGAAAAACATTTATTTTAGAGACAAGTGCCTGTGTTACCCTGGTATACTGTTTTACCCCTGTCTGTCTTTTAGTCCACATGTCTGTCAGTCCCATGAAATATCTGGCACATTTTTCTTGTAAAATACAAATGTGAGCTATCTATAATTTGTAATTAGTCTTCATGTGGACATGCTTTATTGTGTAGTTCATTTCCACATTCATCTTTAATATTTCATCGACTTCCTGTTTACCAAATACTTAGTTATAAACTACATAAAATGCCCATGTATGAAATTTTCTTCACATTTTTCTCATGACATACAAATTAGAGCTTTGAAATTTGGTATAAGCATTCATATGATCATGATAAATGATGTGATGCATTTTCACATTCATCGCTAATCAACTTCCTGTTTACCAAATTTAAAATACTTAGTTATTTGTTAACATAATCACATGATAATGCCCATTTATAAAATTTCGTCAAATTTTTCCCATAAATTACAAATCAGAGCACCCTGAAATTTAGAATAAACATTCTAGTGAGCATGTTGATGCATTTTAACAGCAATTACTGTTTAATCTTCCTGTTACCGAATACTTATAATGGGGTATCATTTGTAAGCAGTAATTCACAGTTCAACTTTTCTCTACATGTTCTATCTACATGTATGTGACAGGTCTATTACCTTATGTTATTTTTGGTAATTTGTTCTTGCTATAGTCCATTATATAGGCAGCAACCAATCATACCATTACTGTTAGAACTTAATTTGCATTTTTCCAGAATCATTTGGTGGGAATAGGGAATCCGATATTAAATCAGATAACACCTTGCAAATTTTTGTGAGGGTTTGTACAAGTCCTATTGTACAGGCAACATTTCTGATCCTTTTTAACATATGTCCTCCAGGTTTACTTTTTTATCCTACCAAATTTACCCCCATTTTGAGGGCAACAATTTTTATTCTTTCCAACATGTACCCTAATTTTCCAGGCAAAATTTCTGATCCTTTCCAACATATATACCCTAGTTTGCCATGCAAAATTTCTGATCCTACCTTTGGAACATACCCTCATTTTTTTCACTACTGACAACTTCCAAGTTCTGGCCATCCATTCTGATTGATCCCATTTTGCAGTACATGTTGCACATTGTATAAGTGGACATGTTCCTATCCTGAGAATACATGAAATATTTGAATTGGACAAATCCGACATTGATCAAAACATCAATCTATCAAACATTTATTGAGCATGTTGAGAGTTTAATTAATAGTTTAAATTCAGAGCTTTACATGTTATTTTCACAGACAGAATTAACAAAAGTTTTGCATCTCAGAATTTTAATCCACTTATTAACAAGTGAAAAGAGAGTCCAATGTGTATTGATATTCATCAGGTTTGGTCTACATTTTATTTTCTTGGTCATGATGTTCAGTGATGTTGGGTACTCTATGCTAGGTCAGGTAAGATGATGTCCTTTAAAAAAAACTGAAGCAAATAACATATTTACCATTTACCCCAATCTCAAGTTTGTTGGTGTTTTCAAGTTCTTATTCAGCATCACAATAGAAAATGTTAAATATCACAAGCCAAAAGTGATTGTTTTGCAAACATCATAACAAAATTGAGCCCTTTGAGGTTAGTTAAAGCAATATCCCAAAACATCTGTAACACAGCAAAAAGGGGATCCATGCCATGTCTGTTGTTTAATTATAAAAGTTTAAGATGTCAAAATTGACTTTACAATAAATATTTGCATGTATACAGAATGTTATTTATCTGGAATTTAGATTAGTACAGGTAAAATATGTCAGTGTTACATGTACATTTTATTAAAATTGTTTTTATTTAACCAAACAACATGAACAATGGAGATATCATGTATATAAATAATGTAAATGATGAATGCATTGATTGGCAGGTTGTTTTTAGGGGATTTGTTTCAGGTAAACAAGGTACATGTAACATCTTCAGGTATCATATGTTTATGAATCACATGAGAATATAGAAAATCTATTCAACTTATTGTATTTTGAAAAAAATAGATCATCAATCATGTCAATTGATTTCATATATAAAATTATGAATGTATGCATTTATATTTTGAGTTGGAAAACTGGACACAAAAAAAAATCTCCATTACAAATACAAATCAAACTCTTGGGGATTTGGCTCTTTTTCTGCATGGAGGGAATTGGTTTAAGTTGACACAGAAAAATTGCTCTGGCCAACTGTATAATGAAATAGATATATGAAGATGTGGTGTGAGTGCCAATGAGACAAATCTCCATCTAATTCACAATTTGTAAAAGTAAATCATTATAGGTCAAAGTACGGCCTTCGACACGGAGCCTTGGCTCACACCGAACAGCAAGCTATAAAGGGCCCCAAAAATGACTAGTGTAAAACCAGTCAAACGGGAAAACCAACAGTCTAATCTATATAAAAAACGAGAAACGAGAAATACTAATGAACCACAACACAAACAAAAACCACTGAACAACAGGTTCCTGGCATAGGACAGGTGCAAAAGCGGGTTTAAAGATAACAATAAAAATTTTAAATCGCAACCAGTACTACAAGTTATGATTTACATCAAACTTTATAGAAATAAGGTTTTTATTTTATTTTTTGAAGATCAGGCTTTGCGGCCATACACATTTGGGGTACGATTTTGTACTCAGACTCAGATTTACACCAATCTAAACTATGGATCTTGTGTTTGAAGCACAAACTTTGTACTCCAGTGGTGATTACTGATTAAAGTTTTATGACCAAAACACAAGGCCTGACGGTTTTTTAGAAGCTTCTATAAATATGTACAATATGGGTCCAAGGGCCAAAGAAGGGGTCAAATTGTTTCATATATATATTTATCTTTTCAAAGAATCCATGAACTAATGATATTTGAACTAGACCTGAAAGATACTTGTATGTTCTTTTGGATTTCCTTAAAAATTGAGCAATAAAAGCACTGTTCCTTTGCTTTTTGTGTTTTTTGCTGTGCACACATTGATTTTGTGTCGTGGATGGATACCCCAGGGTCCATTTATCCTTTCTTTTCTATTACTATGGTGCCAAAAATAAATCAAAGTGGCTGCACTCAGAGGTCAATTTTTGATTGGGAATGAATATGTGAAATTAGATTAACTTAATTTTAAAAGCAGATGAACTGAAATGATATCAATGATTGAATGTTTTTTAGAGCTAAGAAGATACTGTGTTGTTACTTTTGAAAAGTCCAATATGGCTTAAAGGGAACATGTAATAGTCAAATAGGTCAAAATTTCAAAGGTCTTCTAAAGAACTGGAGAACCAGTTGAACATGTTGAATCTAAACTTAATAGGTGTGTTAATTGTTCTTTTAAAATTTCTTAACAAGTATTATTATTTTGGTATCAGTCTGAATTTTAAGAGTGTTGTCAATGGAAGTCAAAATTAACATTTAACCCAAAAGGAAATTAGATTTTAAAATATATGTAATAAAATGAAATAATGCAATAATGTTCTTGAATAATTTGAAGTTGATATAAGAGGTTGTACAAATAGGTAATTATCATAATTAAATGACCTTGTACATGTAGGTGCAACAGTTCCAAGAAAAAAAAACACTTAGTCTAACGTATTACAATTAAAATTCAATACAGTTAGTTCATGTCTATCCATGGATCTGCATAGAGGCCAAACACTTCTGGTCTGACATTTCTAACAGATGTACCAGTAATATTCAACTTTTTTCAATTTGAAGCAAATATAAAAGAGACCAATGAATCTAGTTGGTAGATCTATTGTTTTCTAAGGGTTTTGGTAGAAAAATAATCCACCAAAGCTTTTGTGTAAATCATGTTAATGTAGGTCTTGAATTGTCGAGACTTTTTTTATTACAGATGAGGGTATAGGTTTATAATCACTTCACTCTCTGCATGATCATGATGATATAAACGTACAAATTGTACTTTGACACAAGGGTTTTAAACAGGATACACTATATATATATATTGATAATGAAGTTTATGAATCAGCAAGTTTTTTTATTTCTTACCTTTTGTGATAATAGGTACATCAACCTGGATGTTTTTGTATATTTACAGGTGAAAATGTTCTGTTAGAATGTAGTGTAAACAGTAAATATGACAGACCAGAAAGCATAATACGGGAAGTTTTTTATATATACTGAAGAACAAAGAATTCCAGTAATCTGCAATACTCATCATTTACTCATAGTCACAAACATTTTGTCTCACAATGTCTTCAATGGTCCATAAACTTCCAGTGTCTCAGAGACTTGGTTTCAGTATTGGACATGTACTAAATGATCTGACGGCTTCCATGTGGTTTAGCTATTTGATAATATACTTTCACCAAGTGAAAAGATTCAATAATATTTTAGCAGGATTATTAATGTTAATAGGACAAGTTAGTGATGCTCTGTTCACTCCGTTTATTGGTTTTGAATCAGACAGTACTGTTGGGATATGCAATTTAGGGAAAAGAAAATCCTGGCATTTTGTTGGTAAGTTTTATATGTTATCATTGATTAAACTTGTTACCAGACTTGTGCAGGTGAGTAGCAATAACTTGACATGCTTGAAGGGGTCAGAATAATCTTGGCTCCACATGCATTGCTCTACAAAACAGAACTATCAAGTTATGAACTCCAACACATACATCTGGAGGACAGTAAAATATGTAGGAAGACCAGTAAGATAAATAAGATAAAACTCAATGTATCTAACGTAATGTAATTAATGTTGGGGTAAAATGTGAAATGTGCATATCATGTATATCTGAATCAGATTTTGGATACAATGCTTTGTAAGATTAGTAAAAACAAGTTCATTTTACATTAAGGTATAACAGGCATTTATCATGTCTATACTTTGTCACTTTGTTTATCACATTTTTAGGCCAATTGATAACATCAACATCTAGATGATATCAAATAAACATAAACAATCTAAGTATATATAATCACACAGATACCATGCTACAATCACTATATACATGTAATAAGACAGTGTATCACTACAAACATCAAATGCCTTTTTTAGCTCACCAGGCCCGAAGAGCCCCATGTGAGCTTATGCCATCATTTGGCGTCGTCGTCGTCGTCATCATCGTAAACTATTTCAAGAATCTTCTCCTCTGAAACTACTGGGCCAAATACCTTCAAACTTTAACTGAATGTTCCTTAGGGTATGTTCAATAGGTCAAGATCTATCAGCCCTGAAATTTGCAGACGAACCGAACAACCCGTTGTTGGATTGCTGCCACTAAATTGGTAATTTTAAGGAAATTTTGCAGTTTTTATACGACCGCAAAAAAATTTTGCGGCCGTATATTGGTATGACAGCGTCGTCGTCGTTGTCCGAAGACACATTGGTTTTCCCACAATAACTTTAGTTAAAGTGAATGGATCTCTATGAAATTTTACCATAAGGTTTAATACCACAAAAGGAAGGTTGGGATTGATTATGCGGGTTATGGTACCAACAGTTAAGGAATTAGGGGCCAAAATTAATCATTTTTCCAGACAATAACTTGTGGAACGGTGTATGCATCTCTCTGAAATTATACCACAAGTTTCCATACTACAAAGGGATGGTTAGGATTTGCTTTGGGGGGTTATGGCTCAAACCGTTTAGGAATTAGGGGCAAAAAAGGGGGAAAAACAAGGGTGTCCTGGTTAATGGACAAATACTTTTGATTTTAAACATATTTTATTCAAGATATGAAAAGGATTGAGCAACAGGCACAGCCTATAAAAGCTCTCTCCATATTACATGTACAAGGTATAATTCAATTATAACAACTGTATTTAAAATAATGTAATATAGTGGAACATGCATGCTACTTATGAGCACACACGAGCAAATATATGTTTACAGTGTTACTTATTAAATGTAAAGTATATTTAAGTATATAGGCAATTACTCATCATTTATTCAAGTACCTTGATACATGCAAATATCCTTTATAAGTCATTATGTATGGCTTGAAAGAGACACTAAGCTTACTTAGTGGAATAAATGAATTAATGTTGAAGTGGAGGAGAAAAAAAATGAAAAATAAAACTAAATAAAACAAAAGTTGAGTAAATTTCAAACAAAACGTTGAGTGTCACTGACATATTTCTGAACAGATTTAAAAATAGCAATATTCATATCATATGAAAATAATCTGTTTCCAAAAAGTAATAATTCAATATTTATGTCAACATTATCAGCAATGGAGTAAATGGAATCAAGTAGGATCTGTCTTACATCATTGTACTTAGGGCAAATAAAAAAGAAATGTTGGTTATCCTCAACAGGGTGATTACAGTTTGCACAAAAAGTGTTCTCGGATAAGAATTGATTAAACAAATGAGATTTTAGGTTGCTAGCATTATTTCTGAGTTGACTGACTTATATTAAGTTTCCTTATCCCATAGTTGAAAGGTTTAAATATATCATCAGTCCTATAAAACTTGTCCAGTCCACTTCTAAATATACCCAAACTTGGGGATTTTTGTAAACTCAAAGGAAGACTTTTCCAAAGTCTTATAGTGGAAGGAATGAAACTATTAAAATAAGAGCTAGTTCTAGCAAGAGGTGGGTGAAAAGTGTTATTTTCATTCCTCAAAGTATAAGGGGTTTGTCTAGGAAGATATGGCTGGACTAACTCATATAAGTATGCAGGTGTCATCCCATTTAATATTTTATAGAATAGTATTAGCTTATGTTTATTATGTCTATTCTCCAGAGTTTCTAAACCTAATTCAATATAAAGTTTTTGTCTTGAGGAATTACGTCGTAATCCTGTAATAATTCTAGCATTCCTATTTTTAGTACAAAACATAATTTAAAGCAGTGTAAGGGAGGTAATTCAAATACATCATTTGAATTACCTCCCTTACACTGCTTTTAAATTATGCATAAAGTAATGGTTAATGAACAATTAAGACAATTTAAAAGCAGTGTATTAGGGAGGTAATCCAAATACAACATTTTGATAACCTCCCTTACACTGCTATTAAATTATGTTTAAAGAAATGCATATTTAAAAAGGAAGACCAGTAAAAATATCTGCAAATGTTGCATCTTTGTTTTTTTTCAAAAATATCCATATGAAAAATTTGACACCATATTTTAAATTCTATTATAAAATAGATTAAGTTAGCACTATAGTAAATTTAAATGGGTAATTATGGTTGCAAACTCCATTGGAAATTTGAATTGAGATTATGACCATATCTTGAGGGAAAGAATTTTTTTGGGGGGAAAAAGGAGGGGAGGGGTAAAAAGAAATTGTGGGGGGTCAATTTTTTCTCATTTCAGATTTCAGAAATTAAAAAGAAAAATTCTTCAAATATTATTTTTTTTGCCAAAAAAAAGGGGGGCGGGTTAATACGCAACAGCATAGTGTTTTGCACAAAAGCAAAAAAAAAGGGGGGTACATTTTTTTATTTTTTTTTGTGGGAGGGGGGGGGGGGGGGTCAATTCGCAACAGCAAAGTGTATTGCACAAAAGCAAAAAATTGAATATAAATTCAAATCATATAACCAATTCTAAGTTCTTTGACTACAGATATTCTTTGTCAGAAACCTTTTGTGTGTCAAATGTGTTTAATTACAATCCAAATTCAGACCTGTATGAAGCGCGAATGTTGAGTCCATTTTTGCCCCAACTGTTCAGGGTTGGACCTCTGCGGTCGTATCCAGCTGCGCTCAGCGAAGCAATTTATTGGTTATTATCTTGAATATTATTGAAGATAAAGATAAACTGTAAACGGCAAAAATTTTCAGCAAAGTAAGTGTACAAAAAAGTTATTATGACCAACAATGTCAATTGACCCCTTAAGGAGTTATTGCCCTTTAAAGACAATTTTACACAATTTTTTCATCATGTTTGCTAACATTTAAAAATCTTCTCCTCTGAAACTACTGGGCCTTATACTTCTAAACTTTAACTGAATGTTCCTTAGGGTAACCAGGTTTATAAATTGAATCCAAAGTTTTGATCCATTATCTCAAAAACTATAGCAGTTAAAGCAAAAGTGATATGGAGTTAAAGTGATGAATAAGTCAAGATCTATCTGCTATGAAATTTTCAGACCAATTGGACCACCCATTGTAGGGTTACTGTCCAAAATAGTTTATATTTATGAAATTTTACTGTTTTTGGTTAATAGATAGAGAGAAAGTATAAATGGCAATAAATGTTCAGCTAAGTAAGATCTACAAATAAGTCAACATGATAAAAAAAGTCAAATCACCCCTTAAGGAGTTATTGCCCTTTAAACTTTTTTTTTACATTTTTTGTGAAAGTCTAATTACTTTTTCAGAAATCTTCTTCTCTGAAACAACTTGGCCAAATACTTAAAAACGGGTGAAACACAATAAAGGGGACATTAATACAATTGGTCTTTGTTATGCAAGCTCTACAGCTAACTTAAATACATTAGGATGCCAGTTTTCTGTTTTTAACATTTGACATCGAATGTTTTAACCTTATTCAAAATTTCAAGATTCTATCTTGAATAGTTTTTGAACACCAATCATGCCAGTGAGATTAGTGGTCCAAAAATGGTCATTTTCAGACGTTATGCTGTTGCACTTCAAACTTTACATTATTTTTATCTTTAAAATCTTTTTAACAGTAAGTGTAATGATCATTTCTGATGTTATCATTTACAGATTATTAAATGGTAATTAAAATGATTCCAACATTACAAAAATCTGAGCTAATTAAAAAATTTAACATGCAGAATTGTAAAAGTGGTGCTTCGTTATACATTAATCAATTTATTAAGTGTTGATCATTTATGGCCCTTAAAATTAAACAAATTGCAAGATTATTCATTCAATATGTATGTCAACATACTCAAATATAATAATACTAAAATAAAATACAGTTATATAAATGATATGATTCATACAGAATATTTTTGAAATTTTCAAAGTAGAAAAAAATATTTTTCAAAAAAGTGTAGTGTCCGTAGCCAGCTTATTATTCTCCTAGAAAGGATAGCTACAGTAAACAATAAGCTATTTTTCTTTATAGATTTGACACTTAACACTAACCTTTTGTCATAACAAAATTTAGCACCTTCTTATTAGAATATAGTCAGAATAAATGAAAACATGGTTACGGACACTACACAAATGATGTAGTGTCTGTAACCATGATATCATAAGTATTTTTATAGCATCAAAATAGGCTTAATTTCTAGGTCCTATGATGTCTATTTTGCTGCATCGATCATCATTGTCTTTTGATTAAAAGTTAAAAAGAATTATAAAAACAGATAACTGTTAAAAATATTTGAGCTGATAGTATTCTTTGCTTACTAATTTGAAACCAGAAAATCTTATTGTAAAACCCCCATTTTGGTATCAATTTGTCATAAACTCAAAAGATGAGTTCTTTTGTAATGTTAGGTTAAGAAAATTCATCTTCATGATCATTTTTATGGTTTTTATATCTTCAGATTATTTTTGTAGTGTCCGTAACCAAGGGAGTTTTTTTATTT